GCTTACGTAATTTAAATAGCACCTCAATAGCATCGATGCACAAAATCTCCTATGGCAATCTTTGGCTGTGCAAAAGTTGCTTTCATCTCTTTGAGGAGCTCTGCCCTGCGATGTCATATAGTTTCTTCACTCAAAGTCAGACTGAGTCCTGGCCATCGATATCCCTCAGTGGTACACACTCAAGCAATGGAAGTTAGCACATCTCTGTGATCTATGGGATTATTCGGATATATATGGAAGTATTCCTTAAATGCGACCCAAATTACAAAGAATGATGAGTTTTGTGCTTTATGAGCTTTCAAGTCTGCATCATATGAATCATAACTGTAGTAAGACAAAAGCTACCGAAATACATATAGTGATACATCTGCTGAAGTAGTAAACAAAAGGCTCATAACCCACAGGAAAGTGGGGTAAGAACACATAGCAAATCCAGAAGTAGAATACTCTTATGAATAATGTATGTATATTACTTTAATAATGATCAGCAATTTTGAAGTATAAATACAAATTGATATCAGGCACTCATACAGTTATAAAACTGATACAAATGCAACACTTCATGACTTCAAAGTGATAGTAAGCAGAAGGAAAAATGAAAATATTTTCATATTGGTGTAGCTATAAATGTAGTAGATATTTTGAAAAAAAACAATTTATAAATATCTAACAAGTTTAAATCAATGAATAGTTTCCAACTAAAAATATTAACATGGATGGAGCAATAGAAAAAAGAAATTTACACAATAAAACATTCACTAGTGTATCATTAAAGATTTTCTGCGTGCATACAGTTTTACCATACTTGCTCATATGTACGTCAGTTTACAGGAGTACTTCCTGTAAAACACAGAGAGTAGGACTGTGTTTCCCTCCAGAGAGGAGAAAGCTCTTTTGGACCAGGATCAAGATTCATCAGCAGAGGATCTGTATCCACAGAATTACAATTAGTCTTTTAAAATATGATTTTTGAAGTAAAAATACATTCATGACCAACTAATGCAAATATATTTAAAGTCCAGTGAATGCCTGCATAATAGTGATTATGAAATGCAAGTGTGTTTTCACTTAAGAAAATGCAAGTAATAGTGCCATATCTACCAGAAATCTAAAATTTAGAAGAACCATCTGAGTTAATGATATATATTTTTAAATTGGGTTATTTGCAAGTACAAACTATTTTGAAAACACCTCATTAGAAATTTCTGCTTCAAATTGTCTTTTATCTCACAGCTAAAGCTAGAGACTTCACCCCATCCATGAAAGACTCTAAGAGCGAGCAGGTTGCAATCACTATTTCAATTTCTAAGAGTGACTTTCTCCGCAACCTGCCCTTCCATTCTAGTGTGCTTGTGCTCAGATTATGCATGCTCTAATTGCTTGAAAGATTCATTTATTCTTGCCTAGATGCTGCCAAACTCCAAGCAGTCACACAGTTGGAACCAATGACAAATGTGCTAGACTTGTTACTGGGCTCCACCAGATCGACCTTGTAAACAGCTCATAACTGCTAAACTACACAATGTGAC